GACCGGAGTCGGCTGGACCCAGGAGGCTGCGGGCATCCTTTGCCACAGGTGGAAGCTGGGTTCCTCTGCCCATTTCACTGTGTGACCTCAATTTGGTGTCTGACTCTCTCTGGGCTGCCTTGCTCCTCCGGCCTGCAGAAGCCCACCGTAGCCTGGGCTTTGTCTGGGGGCCAGTGGAAGGTGGCCTGTGGCCCAGAAGGGCTCAAGTCAGGCAAGGGGCAGCACCGAGTCAGGCCACCAGGGTGCGGTCTGGACTGCAACCGCTCTTGCCCTGAGGACAGGCTGCGGCTGCTGCCCAGGTCTCACCCGGCCCCGGGGCTCTGGCAGGGGAGGGGTGGAGGGTTACCTCTCAGACCCCTCCAGACCTGCCCAGGGCACTCCTCTCACCTGACCCAGCCACATGGCCTCAGGGCGCACTGCCTGCCCACTGCCATCGTTCCCCAGCCTGGTGTCCTGGGTGGGCAGGAGGCTGGTTGCAGGGCCCTCAGCCGGCGTGCAAACCCGGGCTGACCCCGGAGACCCTGGAGCCAGCCTGCTCTGGCATGGGCAGGTGGAAGCCACGGGGCGTTCCCACCAGGGCAAGGGCACAGGCCCAAGATAACAGGCTCTCCGCCACGGACGCCCAGTGACATTCCTGAGTCCTCCCGCCGCTCCTCGCCCCGCGACGCCAAAAGACACAAAGGCAGGATCAAATCCCGCTCCCTGGGGCCGTACCGGCTGGGCTTGGAGTCCTGCCTCCCTCTCTGGTTAGTGACGTGACCTCACATAAGTTACCGAATTTCTCTCTGCTCCTGCTTCTGCTTCTGCATCTGTGAAATGGGGACAGGGACAGCCCCTGCCCTACAGCCAGGAAGGGGCATGGGGGGCTTGGGTGGGTAGCAGGCCATCCGGCCTCAGCTTTACCCGTACGCAGGGCGCCCTCCCGCTCCCGTGCTACCCAGACGTCACGGAGCATCCGCACAGTGTGTTAAAGCATCGGGAACTTTCACACATGATTTGGATTTCTGACTTTCTTCTTTTTAATTGGGAGATGTGGCTGGCATGGCCCCGCATTTCTGCAGGGCAGGGGTCAGCGGAGCGCCCTGAGAGATGGCTGCGCAAGGGGGTGCAGCTCTCCCGTTTGCCACAGTCCCCCTCCCTGCGGAGGGTCGGGGGACAAGTGAGCTGAGTGCGCCAAGGGGCGCAGGAACAGTGCCTGGCCCTCGGGAACCCCGTGGAACTGCTCGTGGCTGGTGTGCCTGCTGCCTCGGTGATTCTAAGCCTCCATTCCAGGGGGCAGGAGGGCGAAGTGACACTGGCCGGTGACGGACCCCAGCCCGGCCTACCCCCTGTTTGGCTGGTGGGGGGTGGGTGGCACGTGTGTGCACCCAGCCCGAGGTTCTGAGGTTTGGACAGAGAGGGCTGAGGGACCAGAAAAGGCGCTGTGGTGGAGGCGGCATCACCAGGAGCCGCACAGGGGCCTGGGAGCCCAGACCCCCAGGGGCTGGTGGTAGGTCTTGGTGGGAGGTCCTGGTAAGCCACCAGGACTAACTATAAACTCGGCTTGGGGTTCTCACTACCCCCTGGAAGGTCGTCTGTGGCCGGTGGGCTGGGGTTGTTTTCCTTGGAGAGGTTAGTTCCCCAGAGGCTGAGTGGGGCGGGGTGGGGGGAGGGGTGGTGGGAACATGGGTTGGAGTCAAGGCAGACCTGCATTCAATTTGCAGCAGTCAGTATGCTCTGCCTAGCCTCAACTTCCTCATCTGTGAAATGGGGGTATTGTTCACCTCACGGGACGGTGTGGGGGTATGTGTAGGGATGTACCCTCGTGGTGGCAATGTCACAGCCACGCTCGGGTGCTCGGTGCACAGTAGGTGTCCATCCCCATGCTGCCCTCGATCTCAGCGACCAGGTTGCCGATGACCCACCCATTCACATGCTATTCTAGCTTCCTTCTTGACAAACAGGAGCTGGGACCCATGGGCACATATTTGGGGCTTGTTCCCCCTCCCTATCTCCAAGGCCCCAGCTTCTCCTGCCTGGTCTATTTGAACAGCCTCCTTGCTGGTTTCCCAGCCTCTAGTTCCTCTTCTTGAAGCTGCCCCCGAAACTGGATACCAAGATGATCTTCCACAAATGATGCTCATGTCCCAGCTCCAGAACCCTCTATGGCTCCCCAGGGTCTTCATGGTCAACTCCCAGCTTCTTGGGGTGGCATTCAAGGCCCTCCTGCCCATCTCTCCCTGCAATATGGCAAATAGGAGAGCTATATACCCGGTGGATAGCTACTTCTCAGCTCTGGCTGACCACTGCCCTGCAGAAATGTGGGTCAATGCCAGCCACGCCATCTAATTTTTTTAAAAAGTCAGAAACTCAAGTGTATGTGAAAGTTCTCGATGTTTTAAAACATTGTGCAGATGCTCTGTGACATCTGGGGAGCGTGAGAGGGGGAGGGCACCCTGCATACAAGCCAAGCTGAGGCCAGATGGCTTGCTGACCACCCAAGCCCCCCAGGTCCCTTCCTTACTCTGGAACAGAGGTTCCTAACTGGTTGGGAGGGTATGGTTTTGCTCCCTAGAAATCTAGTGGGTAGAGGCCTGGGATGCTGCTAAACACCCTACCGTGCTCAGGAATGTCGTCACCACAGAGAAGCATCCGGCCCCAAGTATCAATAGTGCCCGGGTTGAGAACCAGCTACAGAGTTGTCGGTGACCACCAGCTGCTCAACCAAAGACTACATTTCCCAGCCTCCTTTGCATCTTTGTGGGATCACATGACTAGTGCTCACTAATGGACAATGAGTGAAAGTGATGTGTGTTCCCTCCAGGAAGAAATGGTTAAAAGGACGTCTCCTCCACCGCATCCCCTGCATCAACGTGTTGGTCACATAGAACTTAGTAGACCGAGGCTCTGGTTCAATAGAACATCTGGAACGTAGAGGAGGGAAGAGCCACAAGGTGGAAAGAGCCTGGGTCCCAGTCATCTGCCCAGAGTCACCACCAGGTGTGGAAGACATAAGCTCTCAGTGGGTTAAGTTCTGGATTTGCCTTTCACAGCAGACAGGGATACCTGGGAGAGTAGAAAAGAATCTGTCCGCACACCCTCACGCTCCCTTCCTGAGAAGGTCTCTGAGGGCCCTGGGAGCCCTCGTGCTGTGGGTGCCGTGACCCTTTGTTTCTAGTTCCCCGGCTGCTGATGGCTGCACCCCAGACCTCCGCCTGGAGCCCTGGCTTCGACTAGGACTCAGAGCCCACCGACCGTCACAATAGAGGGTGATGAGTGACCTAAGGGGGCAGGCGCCCAGACTTGGTGAGGGAGGCTGGGGAGGACTTCGGAGCAGTGGGTGCCTGCACCCCATGGGCTCTTAAGGAGCCCAGCAGCCCACGGCCTGGGCTCGGGGGGAGGAGCCCCTTGTCCCAGGTGGGACCCGAAGTCCTACACTTCCCAGGTGTAGGAATGGAACATCTGTGAGGTTAGAGAACTTGGCCAAGTTCACAGAAATGAGAAAACGATGGAGCAGAGACGTGAAGCCTCATCTCTCTGACTCACACTGCATGGTTTTCAACCCATCGTGTATCCCAAAGTTTAAGGTGCTGTGGGTGCCATTCTTATCCTTGGAGCATTTAATGTTCCAGCACATTCTCGGGGGCTTCTTCTCAGCCTTTCTAGGGGAAGGTTGGAAGGGCTAGCATGGTAGTTTTTGGGGGAACAGCCCTTAGCCAATGAGGGAGGACAGCTGGAGAATGAATACCCCAGCCCCCTGGCCCCACAGTGGGAGACCTCTGAGGTGCATCTCCACCCTGACTCCTGGTGGTCCATGGCAGGACCGAGCCCCAGGTGGCCGTGATGGCAACTGTGAAGATGGTATGAGATTGACACCTGAAAACCCCGCACTGTACAATTCAAGATGACATCTCTGTCCTGGCAGAGATGCAGTATTTTTATCCCAGCATCAGCTCGGCTGTATTACCCTTTTTGCTAGGACTGCTAGGAAGCTCAGAGGGAAATCTGCTCAGTTGCATTTTTATGCCTGAAGGACCCCACACTTCTGACATATGATTTCTCACCTTTCTGAGTTCACATTTACGAGTCACTCCTATCAGCTGTCTCCAAACCTGGTCGGTAGGAGGTTGAAAACACATTATAAACAAAGGATGCCATTAAGTGTAAGAGCTTTAGAATCAAATGGACCTGGGTTCAAATCCCAGCTCCACAACTCGGAGGACCTTGGGCTATCATATCACCTGTGGCACCCTTGGTTTCTCATCTATAAACGCAGATGACGGCTGCTTACGTGCTAGGAAGGATTAAATGAGCTGCACCCACGGGAAGCATCAAGCACAAAACTTGGCAGATGGTAAATGATCGACACTCATTATCTATCACTATAGGGGCTTTTATCCCGATGTCAAGAGGATCGAACTCAGGGAACTCTGTGGGCCCGCAATGTTCGGTGCCACCCCGGCCCCAGTCAACACCCGGGCCTGCCGATTGGGAATGGAGAGACGACAGTCCCCAAGCGAGGCTGCCGCTCTGTGAGGGCAGGTAGTCCGTCAGTGCCGCTCACCGCTGAATTCTTCAGACCCAGGCCAGGGCCTAGCGCACGCTCAACATTTGTGAATAAACGAATGAATGAATGAACGAACGAACAGCCACATGGGCCAGGGGTGGAGTTCTGCTTATGGGCACCGTGCAGCCAGGATGTCTGGGTCCCACAAGGCCCTTCTGCTGCGGAGTTCCAGGCAGAGACATTCTTCTTCAACCCTCTCTGCAACCTGGGCACGGGTTGTCTCCCATTGTACAGGTAAGAAAACTTGAGATGCAGAGACCTAAAGCAACTGGTCCACAGTCACCCAGGTGAGGAGTGTTAAAGCCCCTAGGCCAGGAGCAGGCCCCGCCCCGCCCCCCCCCCCCCCCCCCCCCCCCCCACGCCCTGCGTCCAGCTCTTCCCAGAGAAACGAGCTTATTCCAGTCTCTTTCTCCCTGACCACAAAGACTCAGCTCTGTCCTCAGAAATAGTTGGAAATTTTTATTTAAATGTTTTGTGTTCCCTTTTAACCAACACCAAAAAGAGAGAAAAAAAAATTTGTTTTTGGCCGTTCCAAACAGGAGAGTCGCTTCAAGGAGGAGCTGGCGCGTGTGTTCGAAGCTGGGAGGTGTCTGCCCGCCAGGCTGCTGCTCCCTCCCAGCCCAGGCCACCTGGGGTTGGGCAGCCAGTCCCAGGGGCCCACTTCCTGGGAGCCCCGGGAGGCCTTGGAGCGAGTGAGCAAACCCCCATCCTGGACAGAAGGACTCGTCTCCTCTTCAGATATGGACAGGAGCATGGTGGGCCCTGGGAGGTTCCAGACGGGAGGAGAGGAGAGTGGGAGGGTCAGATCTGGAATGTTCCATGGAAGCTCCAGAGCCTCCGGATCTGGAGAAATATGTTTGCTAGAAAAATAAGATGCTTTGAGAATGTCTGCAGTCTGTACTCTCTGTCTGCCCAAAAGAAACCTACCCTGCTAGCCAAAGGGGCAGCGGGGGCGGGGGGGCGGGGGTGGGGCTGAGGCAGGAGGCTGGGAACCGGTCCGGCCCCAGGGGAGGATCCAGAGGGGAGCGAGGCCGAGGCTGGCAGCAGACTGGTTTCCCGGGTCCCCTTTCCGGCAGCTGCAGAGGCTGTGGGTGCCCCCACCCCCTGGCCCCTTGAGGTGTGGCCCATGGGCGGTGTGCAGCGCTGGGAGGGGGAGGCTGGCCATCCGTGATGGGCTAGTGGATGCCCGGGCCCGGGCCCTCAGAACAGGACGCCCAGGAGGAGCAGGGCCAGCGAGAGCAGCGGGAAGCCCGGGGAAGGGCTGTCTGAGGAGCTGGCTGAGGCACAGTGGTCGCGGTTGGCACCGATGCAGGCGGCGTAGGCCATCACGTGGGGGATGTAGTTCTGCTCGTGGACGCCGTGCAGCAGGTGTGCCATGGGGCCCTTGGCGAAGACTGCCACGTCCTCCCCGCCGTGGGTCTCGTGCCGCAGGGGCACGGCAGACTGCGCCTGGTAGTTGTTGTGAGCTGTGGGCCAGAGGAAACATTTGCAGAGGGCCCGGCAGGGGCCTGGCGCCGGGCCCCTCCCAGGCTGGCTCGAATGCCCCATTTCACAAAAGAGAAAACTGAAGCTCCGTGCAGGGAAGGTATTCTGCACAAGGCCACAGGATTCGGGCCTGAGTCCATTCTAACACAGAAGCCTGTGCTCCCAACCCCCAGACGAGGAAGTCAGCCTCCCCTGATCTCTCTGGACCAGCAGGAAAGGCAGCCCAGGAGAGGGTCTTACCATTGGATGGATGCACCATTAGATGCTCCACCCAGGAGCCTCTGGGGGCATTCAAACAAATGAATATTTAACAACAAAGAATCGGATGAATAGAATACCTTGGGAAGGCTCCTACATTGGAATATTACGTAGCCAGTAAAAGTGACTGCAATACAGCGAACAGCTCTGTGTGCCAGGCTCTGTGCTAAACTATCAGACCCATTCAGTTCCTCAGACAGCCTCGGGAGGTAGAACCCTTTTATGGAGGAAGCCGAAGCTGAGAAAGGTGGAGTTACGCGTGCAAGGTCCCAGAGCTACCAAACTGCAGAAGGGGATTCAAAGTCAGATTGTCCTGACTCGGTCCTGACTATTCTGAGACCCCGGACCTCGAGCACAAGCCCACACTCACTCTGTCCCCAGGCCCACCCCCAAGGGGCGTCCCGTTCCCCCCCACCCCCCAGTCCTGGCTCTCGGCAGCCTCACCGTAGTCCACCATGGAGACATTTTCTCGCTCCCCGCCCACCACCTTGTAGCCAGGCCCGTTGCCGTACAGGATAGAGGTGAAGGGCTTCTTGTCCGTGTCGCTCAGCATGGGGGCCAGACCTGCACGGGATGGTGATGGTCCAAGGGTCATGTGGGCGCACCAGGGGCACAGTCCCTTCGAAGGGCCCGACCCCGCTCCAGGAAGGCCCCCTTCCGAACCTGACTGACTGCCCACCAACTGTCCCGCTGTTTTCGCTGTGCCCACATCCCTCCCGTCCACCCTCCCATCCTCTCTCTCATTCTTTTTTGATTTCTCTTTCTTTTTTAGAGAGAGAGAAACATCGACGCGTTGCCTCCAGTACGCGCCCAGACCAGGGGTCAAACCCGAAACCCTTTGGTGTACAGGACGACGCTCCAGCCAACTGAGCCACCTGGCTGAAGCTCTCCCGCTCCTCTACCCATCCTTCATCCAGGGAGCCAGCCACACATCCACGCACTCACCTCCCTCGCTCCCCGCACCCTGCACGCCCCCACCTGTCAGTAAGTCCTCATGGAGTCCCACCGGTGCCGGGCCCTGGGCCTGCCGACTCTCCCACCCCAGCCCTGCTCCGAGAGTGCCCCGTGCCCACCCCACTGGAAGCCGCCTACCAAAGATGGAGTTGCCACGGGGTGTGTACCCGCCGAAGGTGAAGACGTGGGAGTGGTCAGCAGTGACAACGGTCAGCGTGTCTTCCAAGGAGGTCATGGCGCCTGCCTGCCCAATGGCCATGTCCATCTCCACCGCCTCGTGCAGCGCCTGCTTGGCCTTGCCCTCATGGTGCCCGTGGTCGATCCTGCCTCCTTGAGACACCGAGGTCAAGGGCCCGGGTGAGGGGGAGGGGAAGGAGACCGGCACCGCGAGCCCCACCGCGTGACCGCCTGGTTCGCCACACCAGGCTTGTATGCAGCCATTCCAGCTGTACCGCGGCTCAGAGCGGGCGAGCTGCTGCACCAGGGGCCCACACGAGGAGGCTGCAGAGCCGGGACTTAAAGCCGATCCACCTGCTTGAAAAGCGTGCGCTCTTTCCCCCACCCCAGGCCACTTGCAGCACCGATTCTTCAGGGGCTTGACCCTGAGGCATCAGCGAGGCAGGGAGGGAACCAACATGCCTGAGTGCCTACCAGGGGCCAGGCATGACCAGCCGATGCTTGTTTCCCCTGCACAACAATCCTGGGCAGAGACCAGTACAATCAGCCCCATTTACAGACAGAGCGACTGAGGCCCAGGTGGGGCAGTCACGTGCCCAAGGTGGGATTTGCCGGGATCTGAATTCAGCTGGGACTCACTCTGGATCACCTGCTTTGCCACCTCCCCTTTGAAGAGCCCCCTCTGAGGGTGAAGCGCAGTCCAGAAAAGTGGTGAGCAGGCAGGGCCCGTGGCAGACTTCCAGAAAGACCCGTGGAGGCCTGCGGCCCCTGCTGCGGCCCCCAGGTAAGCACAAGAGGCCTGGCGCGGAGCCTGGCTTACAGGCCTCAGCCAAGGGCTCTGTGACCTTAGGGAACACACTTCCTGTCTCTAACAGGAAGATGCTGCCTGGGTGGACACTCCCAGCTCGGAGGGTCCCGAACCCGGGCGCCTGGCCGCCCCCCTGCCCGCTAGCCTGAGCCTCACCACTGCGGCCTGGCAGGCTGGAAGGGTGGGTCCTTCCTTTGTTGTGGCTCTGGGAGCAGCTGGCCTGGCGGCCAGGTCCTGGCCCCGCGCGCACAGAGCACCGCTCCCGGGGGAGCCCGCGCTCACCACCACTGGTTCCTGGCTGGTGCCTCGGCGTCAGAGGCCTGCTCGGGGCCAGGCCGAGACCGCCGTGCTTGAATGGGAACCCCGGGGTTTGGCGAGAAAGCAGTCAAGCCGGGCTGGCGGCCACCGGCCTCTGGAGGGCGGAGGGGCCCGAGCGGGTCTGTCTGTGCAGTGAGGGTCGTGTACAGGTTGTCCGTGCTTGTGTGTGTGCGTGGAGACAAGGCTGTCACAGCGTCGGAAGATTCTGGGAAGTTTATCACATCCTCAGACTTCCTGTTGTTATTGACTTGGCTATCGGTAATAATAGAAACGTGGGGGATGTATTCTCTGCCGGGCCCTGGGCCAAGTACTTCATGTTTCCGAACACAACGGCTGCTGATAACCCTTCCAGGAGAGGCCGGCTCTGCGGGGCCTCCTGCGACAGAAGTGCACAGGTAGAGGCTGCACAGCCCGCGGACTGCAGCATCACGAGACGAGCCCAAGAGTCTGGCCCCAGGGCTCACAAGGGCCCTGGGAAATGCCGTGAATGCGGCACACAGCGCTGCTGACTCCCAGAGGGTCTGGCTCTCCCAGTGCGGGGGACCCTGAGCCTTTTCCTATCAGGGATAGGACTCATGAACTTGACCTTGGCCCTACATGTGCCCAGTAACAGCAGGTGTCCACTGTCCAGCTGTGAGGGCTCCCGGAGATGTCCTTGAGCCCCTCCAGGCAGCTGCTCAGACGCAGATGTCTCCTGGGCCTGCTGACTGGCCTTTGCGGAGGAGTGAAGCCGAGCTGGCTGCACACCCCTCCCCCCGAGAGCCAGACCTCAGGCAGTAACTCCTAGAAGGAAGGAAGGAACCTGCCTCCTCTTTCAGGAAGCCTTCCCTGACTAATAAGCCTGGTGTGTGTATGTATGTGTGATAGCAGCTTGTTGGACTGGGAGCTTTAGCACGGTCCCCTTCTCCCCCAGTCTATAATCCATCCTCCCAGAAGGAATCTCCTGCATCCTCCCCGACCTGGACAGTTCTCTTGGAGAGCTGGACCTCCCCACCCCCCGACCTCGGGCAGGCAGCCGCGCAGTCAGGCCTGGGGCCCTACCTTCCACCAGCAAGAAGAAGCCTTTGGGGTTCTTGCTCAGGATCTTGATGGCCATCTCCACCATCTCGGAGAGTGACGGGTCAGTCACATTGTTCCTGTTCAACTCGTACTGCATGTCCCCCGGCTCAAAGAGACCTGAGGAGGATGTGGGAGGTGAGAGTTCATGACCCTGCCAGGAGGGTCTCCAAGGAACCTGTGGCATCTCAGGGACCACAGGCTCCCCACACACAACCTGGGGGCACAGGGCGGGGAAGGAAGCTCCTCTGGATGGCTCCTGGGGCCCAATGTGCGCCAGATGCCATCATCGGGGCCACGCCATGGAGAAGGGGTCTCCATGTCCATTTACAGAGGAGGAGACTGAGGCTCGGGGTCAGTAACTTGCTATTTTCTGCTGCTAAGTGGATGGTCTGAGACCATCCACTACCCCCAGTCTGAAGGGCCCCAGACACGGCACCGTGGCCTCAGGCAGGGGACTCTGTTCTGGACCTGACAAGGCCGCTTGTCTGTGTGTTAACTGTGTTCACAGCGTTCACAGGTCAGGCTTGCAGTGCGCTGCACAGTGACACCACAGCAGGCTTGGGGTCACTGTCCCTTCTGTTCCCTGGGCTCAGTTTTCTCACTTCCGAAATAAATGACCCATCCCTTGACCATGTCACAAGATTTCCCATGCATCAGGCTGGTGTCCTCGGTTCCGGACGTCCTCCCAGGACACCTTGCCCTCCCGTGAGCGTGCGCAGCCGAATGACAGCTCCAGCTGGCCAAGCGCTCACTCTGTGCCATGCGCCGTTCTGGGAGCTCCGGAGGCATGCGGATGCCAGCCTCCAAGACGCTCCGATAGGCCCCGCCTCTCGGAATTCATGCCCCGGCGTGTCCCCTCCCCCAGTGACTAGGGCTGGCCTGTGGCACCAATAGAATGCCGCAGCAGTGACGGCGTGTGACTCCCAGGTCTGGGCATAAGACGCTGCAGCTTCTGCTTTGCACACTCTTGGGTTTCTGGCAGAAGCCAGCTGCCATACTGCGAGGACACTCAACCAGCTCCACGGAGAGACCCATGTGGCAGGGAAGTGAGGCCGCCTGCCAACTTATTAGCCATGCAAGGGAGGCGTCGTGGGAGCCTCAGCCCCAGTCTAGCCTTTGGAAGCCCGCAACCTCATGAGAGACCCGCCGGGCTGCTCCCAATTCCTGCCCCAAAGAAACTGTGCAAGTAATAAGTGTTTACTCTGATTCTGAACTAAGTTTGGGGATAATCGGTATATAGCAACAGATAATTATACGACGCATTAGCTCATTTAATCCTCATGACAGCCCTGAGGTAGGCCCTATCATTATCTGCATTGGACAGAACAGTCACTATTCCTACCTTATAGGAGAAGACACTGAGGCACAGAGCAGACAAAGCACTTGCCCAAGGCCGCACAGCTCCAGGTGGCAAGAGCTGGATTTGAACCCAGCACTCTAGCTCTAGGGTCCACGAGTGGAACTGTCTTGCTCCGTGGGTGCATGCACCGCTCCATGCAGCCTGGGTGTGGTACGGAGTCTGTGCCACGTGACCCACACAAGCAGAGGGCTGTGTGTGTCTGGGGGTCCTCTGGGTGCCCAGCTCTGAACCCATGATCTCCAATGATACACCCAGGACCTGGGGGCTGAGCTCCTTGGGAAAGGTTTGCAGGAGATTTGGCCACCACTCGCTGGGCACACTAGCCAGGTGGGAAAGGGGGCCCCGGTGTCGGCATGGTGTTGCTCTGGCCTTGGCCTACCTAGCCTAGAACCGCCCTGGCCCCCACGCTGCTCCCTGGCTCAGATGCCCTGCTCCGCAGCCTGAGATTCGCTTAAGCCTCAGCCCTAACCGGCGTTCAGACTCGCCGGCCCGTGCTCCAACCGGTGGTGGGGCATGCCGTAGGTAGCTTCCCTTCTCTGACCTCTAGCTTCCCTCTGGGTTCAGTGGGGCTATTCACCCTGCACAGCCAGCAGTTTTGGGGCCGAAATTCTATGAACCAGAACCCTTCCTCAGCCCTCCCAGGTCCTGGAGCCTGAGCACAAAGGTCCCTCCGAAGGGGGAGCAGGCTGGGGCCTGGCCCCCAGGTGCTGGGCCACACAGCCCTTGCCCCAGGGCACCCGGCCAGGCAACCAGCACTCCCACCCCCGACCCCCTTACCTAGGAGGTAGTCCACGGTGCTGGGGTGGAGGGCCAGGAGCTCGGTGCGGTTCCAGACGTAGTGAGAGTGCTAGGAGGAAGGGCCCGGGTCAGTCACGTGGGGCTGGGGGAGTTGGAGGGACAGGCCCCAGCTGGTCCCAGAGTTGGGGGCACGTCTTCGTTTCTGTTTCCTTCAGTCCTTTAACACCCCCTCCCCGAGGACCTACTGTTCCTGCCTTCAAGTACTGACAAGTAAATAGGCCATTCTAATGCAGGGGAAGGAGAATTCTGAGAAACCGGGGGTCCCTGTGAGCCCAAAGCAGGGTCAGGGAAGGCTTCCTGGTGGAGGTGACGTCCTGAGGAGGCCCTAGAGGACAAGCAGAGATTGATCGGCCTGGGGCCCGGAAGTAGAGTTCTAAGTAGAGGAGTGTGGGTCAGAGGAGAGGCAGGCGCAGGCCACAAGGGGCCCACTGAGAGGTGTGAGCTGTGTTCTGGGGGTCTCAGAGAGCCAGGGAGGAAGCGAGGCCCTAGATCTGCCCTGGGGCCCCCATATGAGGGGACAGTGAGGGAGGAGGTGCTGCTCCTTCAGGGCACAGAGGCCACAGGTCCTAGCACTGCCAGGAATCAGCTGTGCGTCCTCGGGAGGGTTGCCCTCTGGGCAACGGCACTAGGACCGGTGGTTTGCAGAACGCAAGGGTTATTGTAGGAAGGAAGGCAGAGAGGCTCACAGAACGGGCTCTCATCTATCCATCCCACTCCCACCCGCTCCTCTGCTTCCCCAACGTGGCTTTATCTCATCCTTCGGGCCCTGTACGGTAGACATTATCATTCCCATTCTACAGATGAGGAAACTGAGACACATGGATGACACAGCCACTCAGTGGTAAAGGTGAGATGCCCTAGAACCTCGTCTTAAGGCCTGGTTTTCAAGGAACACAGTGAACCCCTGTCTGGCCCCGGGGCCACGGGCCCGCTCCCTCCCTCTTGGGGTCTAGACTGAGTTCCCAGGGAAGTTCCCTGCAGGCAAGAAGAATCCAGCTCTGGTCCAATGTCCCAGCTAGAGAAACCGAGGCTGGGGGGGGGCTGTCTTTCTGGCTGGGGGGGGGCCGGGCGTGGCTCTGGCCCAGCTGGAGCTGACTCAGAAGGAGCGGGTGGCAAAGCTTCAAAGAGGCTCCGTCCCTCCCCCGTCAACCCTGTGGGGGCCATTCCCCTGCCCCCGCCCCACCTCACTCTTGGCCCGGCCCCGGCCCACAAGGCCTCCCCTGGGGCCAGTCCTGGAACCCTCAGAAACCCAACCCCAGAGTGACATCAAAGTGGCGGCCAGGCTGCTCCCCACTGTCTTCAGCCCTGACCGCAGTCATTTCCAGACCCCAGCTACCCCAAGCCCGGAGGCCAGCAGCACGGATTTAAAAGGCCAGAGCCGCTCCGGGAGCCAGAGCCCGGGCCCTTCCCACGTCCCGGCCTCCCTCCCCAGCACGTGCCCTCGCCCAGGCCACAGCCGACTCCCCGTGAAGGGCTTCGACCTCACGCCTGCCACCCCTGCCTGCAAAACCTCCCGACACTGCCTCTCTGCCCCCTTCCCTCCTGTCAGGCCTCCCCTCCCTGTGGGCTGACCCCTCTGGGTTCCAGTAGGTCCTGGGCGTCCTGCCATCCCAGCACAGAGTGGTCCACGTTGCCTTGACCACTGACTCATCATTCGGGCCTCATGCCCAGCCCGGGGCTCTGCACACAGTAGGGGCTCAGGTGAGCCGAGTGTCCATGCCGGCTATCTACTCCTTGGTCCACCCTCCTCCTTGCTGCCTAGCTTTTTCCATTGCCCGCCCCTAGAGGAAGGAATTGACTGGCTACCTACTATGTGCCATTCACATATCTGTTAGAGTACTTGAGCCCATTGAGGTAAGAATGATGACCGCATTTGAGAGGAGAAAACTGATTCAGGGAGGGCTCACCCGGCCCCAGCCCCAGCCCCAGCCCCAGCCCCAGCCCCAGCCCCACCGCAGGCCGCCCTGCCGCCACCCGGGCCCTGAGCAGGCTACCTTATGCCTCGGTTTGAAACTCTTCCAGATGTCGATGAGGTTCAGACCGTCCAGCCTCGTGCCCCTGGCCTTCTCGTCTTGCTCATACTCCACGTCGGTTGTATTCTTGGGGAACATGTACTTCCGGCCACCCCCTAAGATCACCTAAAGGGGACAGGAGCCATCAGTACCCCGGGGCTTCCAAGTGTCCAGAAGCCCCGGTGGCCCCGACCTGGCGATGGCGTGGACGCCTCTCCAGCCCAGAGAGTCCCGGGTTCTGTCTGCGCCGCTCCCCCGAGCCTTTGCTTCTCCGGCCCGGGGAGGGGACGTCCTCAGTCTACTGGGACTGTGGTCTGGGCTTCTGGGGGCGACACCGGAGCTGCTGGTGGCCTCCTTCCCCCAGCTTTCCGGAGCCCTGACGCACAACTCCCACTGGTTCAGACACGCTCTCTTCCTCAACTTTACACCGAACGCGTCTCCATCTTCCAACTAAGGAAATGGATGCCAGAATCTGATTTCCTTTCCCCAAGGCCGCAAAGCCAGCAAGGGGCAGAGCCGGGATTCGAACCCAAGACTTCTCCCAACCCTGGCACCAGGGCCCTGCCGTGTCCACAGAGCCCACAATGGAGCCTCCAGAGCTTCCTCTCCCCAGTGAGAGGCTGGGTGCCCACAGGCTGGAGGCCTTGGCCGGGGAGGTCCTGGGGCAGCCCAGCCGGGAGCCTGGCCGGACAGCGGGCCAGGGCTCATGTCTGTGTGGCCACCGCCAGGCTAATTTTACCCACCACGCTGCCTGCACGGGCGGAGGGACGCGCGACTGTTTGTTTTCCTTGGGAGTCCATGTTTGAAGTCCTGACTATTTTTAAAACGGGGCCAAGAGCATAACAGCTGCCGCCCACAGTTACCACCACACCGGTGTCCTCCTGTCACCACAGGCGTCAGCCCAGGCCACCGCCCCGGCTGACACCTTGGGAGAGCGGAGCCTGGCTGCGGCGGCCTCACATCCACTGTCCCCGGGCCTGGCGTCTCGCCACCGCCCCCCCCGCCGCCGCCACCTTCCGCTCCATGTTCCTCCTGGGGAGCCAGGTTCTGTGGGGAGGTGAGGAAGGCCCCCCAGGGCCAGCCTGGATCATGGGGACTTGGAGGGGGCACGGCTTTGAATCCTGACTCTGTCCCTTCTCGTCCAAGGGCCTGTCACTTCTCTCTGAGCCTCAGTTTCCCTTCCTATAAAATCAATGTGACATCTCCCCCTCCCCCCGTAAGATTGTCACAGCCACAGGCCTGTCCCAGGAGGACATGAGGTAACGCAGGGGTCCCAGCACCGGGGGTTGGGGGGGCTCATAGACAGTGTCCTCAGTGGCACGAGGAGCTGGAGGTCACGGTATTTGCAGAGGGACCAATGCCCAGCTGCCGGCTCTGGCCAGCATCTCCGGGGGTGGGGCGGGCTGCGAGAGCAAGGAGGCGAAGGGGCCTCGGGTCACCGGCCCCTCACCCCCCCACCCCGTTCCCACAGAACCTGACCCCTTGGCATTCTCCAAGTGGAAACGAAGCCCCCAATCTCCCTGCCTGGAGCCTCCTCGTTTCCAGCCCAGCAGAGACTTCACACGGGCTCATTAAACTCCCAAATAACAGACTTGCTGTTTGGCTTTGGGGTTTGGGTTTGTGTCTTTTTCTTTCTTTCTCTCTCTGTCTCTTTGTTTTTTTTAAAGCAAAAGATATTTATTTTCAGGGCGGACACCAGGATTTTTGTTTCATGTACAGCCCAGGGGCTGGGGGCTGGGGGCTGGGGGCTTTGGGCTTTGGGGTGGTGGTGATGCGGGGCCAATGGGAGAGGAAAGGATGAGGAAGAGAGGCGAGGGAGCAGGGGCAACAGTCACCTGGGCCTCCCCCTCGCTCGTGCCCTCGTCCCCCAGTGGCCCCTGAGGACCCCCCATCCAACCCTCACCCCCAGCAGAGACATCTGCCCCTAAGCGCCTGCCCCCCCTCAGGCTGCTCCTGCCAACACTCTCTGAAGAGCGGCCCATAATTACAGCCTGTGCTTGTACAACAAATGTTCTCACATCCATGACCTCATCTCGGCCTCCAGCGCTCCGAGGAGGGGCAAGGGGGGCTCTCTGTTGTTGTTGGACAGGTGGGGAAACTGAGGCTCGAGGAGGAGAAGTGACTTGTCCTGGGACACAAGCCCAGTGCGGGCGAGGTCAGGGCGGCGGCTGGGCCCAGACACACGCTCACCACAAGGGTCACCAGGACCCTGTCCTGAAAGGGGCGTTCAGTCCGCCCCTGGGAAGAGGGGACTCAGGGGTTGGTACAGGGACCAGGGGGGCCTTAGAAACAGGGGGGATGGCATGGGGGGCAGAAGGTGGGTCTGGGAGCCAGCAAGTTCCGTCTGGTAAGGTCAGAACCAGGTAAGGGGTAGGAGCGGCCTGGGGGACTTCCTCTGAGGCTCACTGAACCCCCATTATAGGCTCAGGGGGCCAAGCCCCCTTACCCCTTCACCCAGTGCCCCCAGGAAATAAGAAGAGCCTGAAAAAGAAACAAGCCAGAGATTCTCATTTAAGGGGAGAGAGTGGGGACCCATCCAAACGCCAGGTGGGCAGTGTCCGGGCTGCACGTGCTCGCTCCCGCACCCGGGCCTGCTCAGTGTTCAAAAGCTTGCGTCTCCGGTGCAGACACGTGGCCCCCGCATAAACGCTGCCGCTGCCCAAGCACTCTGATAGGTGTCAGGCCCTGCGCTAAGCCCACGGGGGTTCTTCTGTTCAGATGTTGCAATGGGTCTACGGGACAGCTGCATTTCACAAAGAGGTGATGACAGGGAGGGCTCGAAGAGAGCAAGTAACTGATCCAAGGCCATACAGTTAGTTGACGGGACATGGATTTGAACCCCAGAAATTTAAAGTCGAGAGCCCATGCTAAGCACTGTGCATAGGTTCCCGGGGCGCGCGGGGTGAGTGCATGAGACACGTACCTGTTTGCGAACTCGGGAACGTACAGGCAGGCGCTCCCCTCAGGTGGCCACTCTGCCACCCTGCCTCCTTGTTTTGGGGGTGGGGTGCCACGCCAGGTTCCAATTTACGAAATAATCCCTGGGCGCCTGGTTCCCCAGGCGTGGTGGCGGCCACATCAGGGTTTATCCCTCAGCCCCACCGCGGAGAAACCCTACAGAGCCTCTCTGCCCCGACCGCAAATCCCGTAATGGGCGGGGAGCCCTCCCAGGTGTACGGGGCGCCAGGCCAAGCTGCTGCTCCCGGGTCGGCCTGTGCCTGAGGCCCTGCCTCACAGCCCGTGGGTCCCTGCGCTGGCTGCATCCCCTGAACTCGCCTCGATGTCCCTGATGTTGTGCATGAGCTGGTAGGCAATGTCCTTGCAGCCCTGGCTCAGGGCCTCCGGGGGCATCTCGTTGTCTGAGTACCAGTCCCGGTCGGCAGAGTGGGCGTAGGTGGCGCTGGGGGTGGCGTGGTTCACTCGCGTGGTGGTCACGACGCCCACAGATTTCCCTGGGGTGTGGGAGAGGAGGGGTTGGCTTCATCTGGAGACAGCAGCGTGCAAGTGGCCCTCCTTCTAGCTAAAGGCTTGCCTCCCGCTGGTCGGATGGCTGGCTGGTCCTTGGCCCCCCATCAGTACTAAGGGGGGGATGGTGGCTTCCATACCTCTGGTAGCTCAGACAGTCTGCCTGCTGGAGGACCCTGGAGCTGTGAGCTCCTGGGCCGGGGCCCTCCCCTCCAGTGTGGACCCTGCTGAACCCCAATCCTGCAGAAAGCACCTCTATTCCACCGAGTGCCCTGCAAGAACACCGGGGCCCCTCCAAAGGGCTCCTGGGTGGTAGTGTTGTCACCTGTGTCAGCCGGCCCCAAACCCTGACTCTAAAGTTCCTGGGGACCTGGGTCAGGGCCTCCTGACTCCGGCAGGAAGGGAGGAGGACGCGTGTCCTGAACCGCCCCCCCTCCTCGGGGCTGGCACTGGGCTAGGCCCCTTGCCGTCCTCACGCCAAGCCTGCGAGGGGGCTATGTTTTCATGCCCGTTTTTCAGTGAGATGAATAGCCTCAGGGAATCAATCGCTCCAGGCCCAGAGCCCACCCCGGGGTGGGACCCTAGACCACTGGCCTTCCTGTCCTGGATGGGATCCCCTGGGCTTCCACACGCTCAGGACGTGGGGGCTGGAAGCGCGCTTGAGAGCATCTTTGTCCTGCCCTCTCCTCCTACGGTCGGGAAGACTGAGGCCCAGGCGGCTCACAGAGCGGGCCCGTCCCCCACCGCCGCCCACCGCCGCCTCCACTCACCGGCGTCCTTGGCCCAGCGCAGGATGGAGGTGACCTCGTTCCCCCGGGTGGTGTTGCACTGGGAGCGCTGGGTGGCTGCGCTCACCCCCACGGTGCCCTCATTGGCCTTCACCCCGCACAGGTAGGCAGTGGCGGTGCCCGCGCTGTCGGGGACCTGCGCGTTGGTGTTGTACGTCTGCGGGGGGGGGGGGAAGGAGGGTTGGGAGATGGCCAGGCCCTGGCCCCACCCTGCCTCCCACCCACCCCCACTCACACCATGGGGCCCAGGGCATTAGGGAGGCAGTGGGATCTCCCACAGCTTTGGCTGAGCCCTGAGGTCCCCCCAGAGCCACGGGATCAACTGGCTGCCTGGTTCCTGCCCCGACTCCCTCTGCCCTGGCAGCCAGGTGTCCGACACATGGAAATGCTGGGCAGAGGAGCAGGGCTGGGCCAGCTAGGGCCTCTCTCTGGGGCTGGGGCTGGGGGAGCCAGCAAGGTGGTGGGAGAGGCAGGTGAGTCCTGGAGAAGGGAGGGGGGGTTCTTGAAGAAATGGGGGGACAGAGAGAAAGGGAGGGAAAGTGAGGGGGAGGAGGATCTAGAATGGGGATACGAGAGAGAGGCCCCCCTCCTTCAGACCTCTAGTGGAGACCCTTGAAACTCTCCCTCCCCTACCAGCCAGAGAGCTCCTTGAAGGCACAGAAGATGTTAGAGTCAGTCCCTGCTGTTCCCTGAGAGTGTGTAGAGGACCTTTATTGCAGACCACCACCAGCGGGGACAAAGACACCCGTAACAACAGCTACCACTTGACCTCAGTGATCTGATTAACTTCCTGAACCACCCTGGGAGGGAATGACTGCAACAGAACCACGGGGGAAAGAGGGTATACTGCACGACCCCCTTCACACCCAGTACGAAAGCAGGAACAGCTGATCTGTGGGTGGGCGGGCAGGGCCCAGAGCCCACGGACGGGACAGGGGCCCAGGGGGACCTCTGGTTGCCGCCATGTTCAGTTTCTCCACTTGGACGCTGGTTACACCGACGTGTGCAGTTTGTGAAAATTCAAGCCGTGCACTTGTGCATTTTTCTCTGTGTATGTTATTCTTCAATGGATTTTTAAACATCAGTGAGCTAAAACCCTCAAAATGAAGCCTTGGGGAGTAGCTACTGCTGTCCTCATTTCCCAGGGGGGCTCAGAGACCCCGGGAGGGCCGACCACCTTGCCAGAGCTCTTCTGTACGCGTTGTCAGGCTGCAAGGTGAGAGGCTTGGGCTCAGCGGGCTTGGGGCTGGAGCTCACCTTGGAGAGGGCCACGTGGGGGAACTTGTCCATCTCCAGCCTGGTCTCCTCCCCGGGGTTGTGGTGCAACTGGCCCTTGAGGATGCGGGCCGCCGTCACCGTGGAGACGCCCATCCCTGTGGTGGGGAAAGGGGGCCTCAGCCTCTCCGGCTTCTTGCCTCTCTAGTCAGCCTTCTCGGGCACCCATAGCTCTCTAGGCTGGGCGGTGGGCACCAGAGTAGGGCTCTGTAAATGGGACTGACCATCCCTTCCCTCCCCAGACCCTCAGGGGGGCCACTGAACCAGCAGACCCCATGGGTCCACAGCCCCATGGGCCTCCCATCCTCTTAAACTTGCTCCTCAGGGCTCCAGTCTCTTGCACGCACCACCCTTCCCTTCTGGCTGGCTCTGCAGGGCCCTACCTAGGTGCCCTGTCCGGCCCCGCCCTGGGGCCCCCAGGCCTCACCGTCTCCCAGGAACATGATGATGTTCTTAGCCACGTTGGTGTTGAGATTCTGGAGCTTCAGGGCATTTTTCAGGGTCTGCTGAGCTTGGTCTCTCCAGTACTTGGGGTCTTTCTCTTTCTCTGTAGGGACAGCGAGGCAGACAGAGTTATTTGGCATGGGGTGCGGCTAGCTTCTAATCCCCGCACTGACATATACTCCAACTTCTCATGCTTGAGGGAAGGTGTCAGGACGTGGGGAAGGAGCAGTGGTTGCCCATCTGAGAGTCATCGTGTGGTCTGTAAACCTATTCCAGTCCAATCCTCCAAACAAGCCTGTGGACCCTGGGTCTTCTCCTCAAATCTCAGAAAGAAGAAACCAAGGCTCAGAGACAGCAAGCAACTGGCCCAAGGCCACACAGCACTGGCAGGCACTGGCAGAACTGGGTTTCACTCCAAAGCCCGGGCTCACTCTTTTTCCTCCCAGTCGAGGGACATTTTGCTAAGGCAGCAAATGAATCTGCTCTAGCGCGATTAGGAAGGTAATGTTTAAGCTGTTCGAGAGAACAAACTACTTCCAACTGCAGGAGTCCCCAGACATCTGCAGCCATCAATTATACACTCTGCTCGGCTTACTCATTAAAGTAGGTTCAGCAGAAACCCGACTCAGTGACAGCATTAACAGTGGCGCTGAAAAGCCAGGCTTGCCTTTTGTGTGAAGACCTGCCTTTTGTTTTAGGTGGCGAGTTGAAATAGCGACGCACAATCGCACTCCTGTTAGGATAAATCAGCACGTTCAGCACCCCTGATCTCGAGAGAAAACGGAAGCAGGCATGCTCTCTCCCCTTTCTCTTTCTCTCTCCCCCTCTGTCTCCCTCACCTGTGTGTGTGCGGTAGTCAACCCTCCAGGGGAAGGAACACAGCTATAGTGCTTGTTGGACCTCAACTCTGCACCCCTTCCCCCCGCCCTGCTGTGACAAGTGTCAGCTGTATAGATAAGTCACCTCCCTGGGCCTCAGTTTCCTCCCCTTCAAATGCTGTTGTTGGTACCTTCCTCTCAGGGTCTTACGAGGACTAGATTAGATCAGACAAGTGACGCACCTGACCCACAGGAGGGGACTAAAGGCCCCCCACCCCCTAGTAATTCCATCACCAGGCCTGGACTCCCTTATTCTTCCAAACAGCGGCCCAGGCTCCCCATCCGCGAGACTCAGGGCCTTCCCACCGCCTGCCGACTCTGCTCTGTACTCGGGCCCCATTAAACCTGCGCCTTGGCCTGCAGGAGCCTGGAGATGGACGCTTTGTCAGGACTCTTTTTTAACAGCCTCCCATTGCATAGAAGGGAAGGCTGAGGCCCAGAGGGTGGAAGGGGTGGAACACAAGGCCGTGCTACGTGTTCGTGGGCTGAGAACACGGCCCTCCTGCCTGGGCCCAGCTCGAGCCTGAGCTGCCTTTTGGGACAGCGGTGGGTGAAGGGCACAGCACTCCTTCCTCATAAGCACGGCCCCAGGCAAGTGCAGGTGCTACACGCACACACAGCTTGCTGGGGTCGCTGCAATTACTTCCTCCACATTAAAGAGTGAAACACAGGGTGCCGAGATCAAGCTGAAGAAGAAAAACAGGAAACCCACACACCTATGGGGCTGCGCCCCTGCCTGCGGGGTGGTGGGCGAGGAGGTGGAAGGAAGCCTTGCACCTATCCATACTTCACACCTCTCCCCCAAGAGGTGTTCCCTGAGGTCCCCCCCACCCCAATTCCTTAGCCTACCGCCTTCACCCGGACAGCCCCCAGCATTCTCTCTCTCTCTCTCTCTCTCTCTCTCTCTCTCTCTCTCTCTCTCTTTCTCTCTCTCTCTCTTCTGAAGGGGTCTGCTGAGCTCACTAATTTCAAACCCCAGTGGCAGAGGCCCCAGCTGGAGCCCTGGCCCTCCCACCAGCTGTGCGCACCCACTTGAGTCCCTGCCACTGCAGTTTCTGCCCCAGGATATCGGGGGGGGGGACAGAGCTACCTGCAGGCGGTGTTGGGGTTAAATGAGGTAAAGCCCGGGAAAGTGCCTGGACCGGGGGTTCAGACCAGGGACCCCACTGGCTCTGCGCTGGTCCTGATCTCCTTCCTGCCTCCCTCCCCACACACCACAGTGCCCAGGCTTTGGGCCAAGACCTCCTGTGGCCGTTTGGGTGCCATCTGGGTGGCAGTGAACTTCCCACCCTGACCACCTGGCACAACCTGCCTCCCCCCACCCCACTGCCCTGCACCTGCTGCTCCGTCTCCACACAAGTTTTGTTACGTTTGCCAAGTTCCCTGCTGCGTTTGCTGCCTGCAGGGCCCTTGTCACTTTCACCAGAGCCATCGCAGGACTTTGTCCTCCAAGCAGTACGGTGGCTGCCAAACTGACTTCATTGTCAGAGGACTGACTTAAGCCATGAGGGCTTTGGACACCTGAGTGGCAGGGGGCCATTGGTCTCAGAAACCATTAAGTGACACGCGTAAATGCTCAGGCCACAACACTCCGTGAAGGGTGCCTGCCACTGCACCGTGCGTGCTGTGTGCTTTGTGCGTGTGAGGCTTGGGAGAGGCCGGACTCATCTCTGGTGGCAGAAATACGGCCAGTGACTTCCTTCGGCTCGGGGGTGGGGCTGGCTGGGGAGGACACGGGAAGGGACCTTGGTGTCCCATGACTAGACATGTTCTTCCAGCTCATCAAGCTACACGTGTAAGACCTGTGTGCTTTTGTGTGAGTTATACCAAATATTTAACGAGGAGGAAGAAGGAGAAGGAGACACAATGGACGACCGCAGCACATGCATCAGAATGGCTCAAATGAAACAGGTCACAAAAAACTGAATTGCTGAATATTTGAAAATCTCTTATTTTCTCACTTGTTCATTCTTTCCCTTTTCACCCACCTGCTCACTCACTCGTCCCCCAGGTGGGCTGTGAGGGCTGCGAAAGCTGGGACTCAGTCCCAGAGGGGCCCGGGTCCCCGCGGACACACACCAAAAGGCATCATGGGATCGCAGGGGGAGCGATGGCCTGGGAACCCCACGGCCCAGGTCCTATTCCCATCTCTGGCACAGCCTCTCTGTGTGGCCTGGGAGGGCCAGTCCTTCTCTGTACCCCGATTTCCTGATCTTCCTGAGAGCTCCGCCCCTTGCCAGGCACTAGGGCCGTCCCATGTCCTTCCCACAATAGCCTGAAGGAGAAGTTCTCTCCGCTGAGCAGATGGAGAAATTAAGGCTCAAGGAGGGCAAGTGGGGAGCTTCCGGCCCCATGATGGACTGCGCCAAGGAGGGCTCCCCTTTCTGACTACTGACACTGAAATGCTGGGGGGAGGGGGCACCAGAACAATTCAGGAATTCAAAAGCGGAGAGGTAAACGGAAACGGATGCTGAGGGACCCTGGGGGGTGTCAGACGAGATCCAGCTCTAGGTCAATGCTGTTCGAATGGGTGCACTCGGCCTTGGAGCTATGGAAGGGATGGGACAGGAAGCCAGTTGTGAGAAATGTGAACTCAACTCCAAATCTGAGCCAGGATTAAGTGGGGTCTGAGTTTGTAGCTTAAGAACCTCCAACTGAGAAATTAACATAAAACTGATCTAGAATTCACTGAAACATCACATGTAACAGGGCACTGTAGAAACACTTCCAGATGAGCCCCCAGTCAAAAGCAAAACACCAAACTCTCGTTGAAGATGAGTTCACAAGCAAGAATTACAGACCACAAGGAAACATGCTCGTCCGTGAGTTAGGCAGACAAAACCGACAGGAGACTTAGCAGACCCGGAGTTGGAAGAGTTTATAGAATAAGTTATATTTCAGATACTCACAGAGACGAGAAAAGAGACACCCTAGCCCTGGCAGGTGTGGCTCCGTGGATTGAGCACTGGGATGCAAAGCAAAGGGTCGCTGGTTCGATTCCCAGTCAGGGCACATGCCTGGGTTGCAGGCCAGGTCCCCAGGTCCCCAGTGAGGGGCGGGGAGTGGCGTGAGAAGCAACCACACACTGATGTTTCTCTCTCTCTCTCTCTCTCTCCCTTCCCCCCTCTCTAAAAATAAGTAAATTAATTAAAAGAAACCCCAATTAAAGAATAGGAAAATAGCTCTCTCCCTTCCTCTCTCTCTCTCTCAAATCAATAAAGTAAAAAAAAAAACCCACCTCTTTTTTTAAAGAACAGGAAAATATAAAGGGGGAAAGCGTGACCTACAACACGAACACAGGCAGCAGTGGAGGTGGGGTTTCCCCTTCTGCACACTTGTTTCCAGCTCTTAAATACTTTGGCCGGTTCCCTGACCCTGCACACAGACAATGCCCTCATCCCACCCTCCGCCTGCGCCCCCAACTCCCACCTGGCACTAAGGAGGAGGTGAGGCAGGTGCCGATGGCCAGCACTAAGAACGGTGAGATCATGGTGTATACTCCAAGACCCGCTCTCTCTCCGGAGCCCAGGGGTACGATCGCTGTGGGTGGGTGGGAGGGGTGAGCTGGCAGTGGTCAACCCGTTAGCTGATGTTAGGTGATGTTCCAATCCTAGAAACGAACAACAACAACAAAATTAAAAGACACGTGGGCCACAGCTCCAGAGTTCCTATGTTCATTCACTTAATTTCTTGGTTGGTTCATTCATTAAGTCGTTGCTGAGCACCTGTTACAGGCCAGGCCTGGGGTTACAAACCCAGGTGGTCCCCGGCTCAGGAAGCTGCATCACACAGCTGTGGAGCGTTAAACGAGGACTGGGCTGCAGAGCGGCTCCTCCGCTTCCCACGGGAACCTCCACTTTTAGTCCATCCGAACGCACCAGAGTCCGGTCTTTCTGCAGCACGCATCCAACTGTGACACGCGCCAGAAACTCCTGGAGGGCTTGTTAAACCACATGTTGCCCCCCAAATCCCCACCCTTGCCCAGAGATTCTGACCGCACTGCCGACAGGCTCCCAGGCGATGCCCCTTGCTGCTGGCTCTTGGACCACACCTTGAAAAGCACTGTTCTAGAACATCAGTCTCCAGGCTTTTAACTACCTGTGTCCTGAGAGCATCTGAAACCACATTTCTCAGAATGAAAAAAAAGCGTCCAACCTTTCTTAGAGGGGCACCTGCATTTGCTACATTCTCTTCCAGAGCTTGTCATGTGTGGGGTCAGACACAAAAATGACAGGGGTGACATACAGGAGAAGATTGGCTGATGAGGGTGGGCATTTCTGCATAGTAACGTTAGAGATGACTCTGATAGTTTCTGCATTTCCCAAGATTTCTTCTGCGTTGAGATGTTATCTTTATCATTTTTTTGAAAACGTTATTTAAAAAAAAAGACTGGGAGGAAACACACCAAAATATTAACTGTGGCTTTCTCTGGGCAGTAAGACTGAGTGATCATTCATTCATTCATTCATTCTTCTTTTTTATCTTATTTTTGAATTATCCAAATTGCTTAAAAATGAGCACGTGTTAATGGTACAAGAATGTTTTTAACTTGTGATTATCTTGTTAGGCTCATGAGGAATAACCCCACTGACAGCTGAGAAATGTGCTAACTCTTTGGATACAAATGTTACTGGAAGATGAAGAATTTTAAGCGGCAAGAGTTTTACTGGGAAATACTGTTATTATTTCCCCCAAAACCAAGATAAAAATGATTATCCCATTTGTTGGGATAACCTAAGAAAAATTTATTTTAAGTCTCAAGAGATCCACAAAGCATTACAGTTCTGGGAAGCGTTGATTCAGGCAGAAACCCAAACAGCATTGAGATCGGGGGTGCAGGTAAGAGGTATTTATGAGGGAGGGGCGTAAGCACATCAGCGGAAGGAAGGAATTTTTAAGGATGCAGATCAGCTAAGGAAGGGGTTTCTCTGCAGGTGCAGAGTAGCCCGGTGGTGATAACTCTACAGAAGGCCATTGGTTTTCAGTCAGAACGTCATCGTCGTTTCTCCCTGTTATTTCTGCGAACAGCTGTCGGACTACAATGCTGACTTAGGGCCCAAAGGTCATTTTGCCCAGTTGTAATGCCCCGAAGGTCTGAGGGGTAGCAAGTGCAGGCAGCTCTCGGGGACGGCAGCTCCGACCCCACGGCGGGGTTGCTCTGTGGACGTCACTTTTTGCAGGAGAAAGAGCAGGGACGCCCAGCACTCACTCTACCGTCACTGTCCCGGCAGGTGAGAAGGCACTTCACCCCTGGAGAGGGGCCTTGATTCAACCTTGAAACCACACACGCCGGACTCCAGAGGCCAGGGCCCCCGGCGCCACATCCCACAGGACACCCCGCGTTCACCAGACACACCGTCCGTCCATCGCACAGGCCGGTGCTTTCCCACCCACTTCCTCGTCCACCTGGCTCCTTGGGGACCCAGCCTGGCAGTGGGGGAGGGGAGGCGGGGATGGAAAAGAAATACCCGGCCTGTAACGGCATTTCAGATGATTGAAATCTGAGTGACGGCATTTCAGATGATTTCTAATGTTTTACTCAGTTTCCAAATGTTTCTAGAGTCAATCCTAACATCATTAGTATGTTATTAAATTGATGCACAATATCGATACATTAAAATATTCAAACTAGCCCTGGCTGGTGTGGCTCACTGGATTGAGAGCCAGCCTGTGAACTGAAAGATCAAAAGGTTGCCGGTTCGATTCCCGGTCAGGGCACATGCCTGAGTTGCAGCCAGGTCCCCAGTTGGGGGCGTGCAAGAGGCAACCACACAGTGATGTTTCTTTCCCTCTCTTTCTCTCTCCCTCCCCCCTTTCTAAAAAAAAATCCAAAACATTTTAAATGTTATTCAAAACAGTTTACGAATGAAGTCAGGAAGGCTCCAGGATGATCGCTCACGCCCATACATTACCTGTGCACGTCACACTGTTTTGGGTTTTGCAGGTGCCTCCCCGTTTTGGAAGTAGTAATTCTCGCCTGGTCTGTCTCACCCACCGCACCGGGAGCTTCCAAGAGCAGGGACTTTGCCTTGTTTGTGCTGCAGCAGCGTTCGCGCAGTAAATATTTACCTCAGTGAAAGTCAGGCTGTAAGCGGTGGGCGGAGTGGGGGGGCAGGAGGAAGGAGAGAACCACCCCAAACCCTTCCTTTGCGTGTGCAGAAGAGCCCGAGTGTCGGCAGGGATGTGCAACAACTCCCTGGGACAACCGCGCGGGAAAACTGGCCGCTTCTTGCGGGGCTGACACCACACACGCCCCTCCCACCCGTTATTCCCAAGTTCACTGGAAGACGTGGAGAGGAATGTTCCTCTTGGCCCTGTCCCTGGTGACCTCGAAACTGCGTCCGTCTTCAGCAGGATGACAAACACATGGTGAGGGTTCGAGAGATGGGAATCCACGCAGCAACGAGAACCAGCGACCGACAACTCCCGGAACAACTTGGACGAATCTTGCGAAGGGGAGGTTGAGGGAAGGAGGCAGACCCAGGAGCACACGCAGTGTGATGCGCACGATACAAAGCGTCAAAACTAACCGAGGGTGTTAGAGGACAAGATGAAGACCAAACTGGGGGTCGGGTACAGAGACTGGAGGGCGCCCAGGGGGCTGTGAGCTGCTGTTCTGTTCACTGACCGGGGCGCCGGGTGCGTTGATGCTGAAACCCGATACACGGTCAGCCTACGATACAGACACTTCACGCATCCGTCTTACTTCCACGATACGAACGTGCCGCTCTCTGGGAGCCTATCTCCACAATCTACACAGGACACGACAACAAAGACAAAAGGCCTGCGTGCCGCACACGGTTCACTGGTTAGAGAGCCTTCCACCACGATTTCTCACGGATCACCTGGTCGGGGGACGGAGCGGGACTTCTGATCTCTGCGGGTGCAGAAGCCAAGGTTCTGCAAGGAAATGCGATTTGCCCGGAATCACAATCAAGCAGGTGGCAGAGAAGGTAGCAGGTCACCCGACTGCAGATTTAAAAGCAAGGAGGCTGGCGTGGGAACCGGCCAGGGGTGGGGCTTTTGGTTCCCCACGTGTAGAACGGAGATTCCGAGGTTTAACGTGTGTACAGATTCGTGCGACCTCCACCACACTCAGGACACGAGACGGTGCCACCACTCCAAAAAGCTCTCAGGCCATCTCACTGTCGTCACAGAAGCACCCCCCCCAACCCCACCAACCCTTCCCTTCCCCAAACCTGGCCACCCCAGCTCAGTTCTCCACCACTATCGTCTGCTTGGTGTTGCGTTGCCTCTGTAGACCGGTGTGGGAGGGGCGTGTGTCTTTGCAGTGTCCACTCTTCCACTCATGGACGGTCTGCCTGTCGTCTTTCGTCGTCTTCAGCACACAGACCCAGCATGTGTTTTCTTAAATTTATACCGACGTTATTTCAGTTTGGGGCTCACTAGTATAATGTCATTGTTTTAACTTGTTCATGACCTTCCTAAAGTCACGAATTAGTTCTAGGAGTTTTGTGCGTATGCAGTGGGTTCTTTGCCAACATCTATGTAGACAATCGTGGCATTGACACATAGGGAGAGTTTCAGTTGTTTCTTTCCAATTGGTATGCCTTCTATTTCTTTTTCTTGCCTTCTAGCACCGGCTAGGACTTACAGCACCATGTTAAACTGGAGAGGCAAGAGCAGACGTCCTTGCCTTGCTCCTGATCTTGCGGAAAAGCATCCAGTCTTTCAGCATTTGGGGTGGTGTGCTGAGGTGGGAGATGGGGGAGACTTGGTGGGGAAAATGGGGAACGTGGTTTTGCACATGTTGAGTCTGAGAGGTCTTTTAGAAGGGAAGACATCAGTAGACTCTAGATACATACATCCAGCATTAGGGAGAAAGGCCTTGGCTGGGGGTATGCACTGGGGAAACCTGGGCATATAGGTGATATTTAAGCCTTGACGAAACTTGATGAGATCATCTGGGAAGAGGGAATGGGGACAGAGGCAACTATATGAGAAAAGCCCTTAGAAAACCAGGACTCGAAAAGAATTCCTTTACCTTAATGAAGACTTTATACCAAAAACCGTCATGCTTCTTGAGAAACGTTTGGCATATTCCCCTTGACCGCTGGCTTAAAAGGACTTGGGGCATCCTCTCTGTCCCATAACTCGAGGAATGAATTAACGAAGGTGGTGGCAGCAATATCTATGGGGCAGTGGTGTGAAAACCAGAAGTCACAACAGCAGTATGGATGAAGCTTAGACACAGGACTGAGTGAAGAACGCACAGAATCCAATGCAGTTATGCCAGCCACACCCACGTGCAGAAAGCAGCGTGGTTTGAGAGGACACACACAAATTCAAGGACGTGTCAAACACAGTAACATGAGGACCTTTGGGGAGCGGTGCGATTGGTCGTGGGGAGCAGAGATGAAGGGGAAGAAGAAGAAGAATGAATAAAACAAGAACTGATCTCAGGACCATACACCGCGCCCTGAGAGACGTGACTGGTTCGACGCCGCACCTCGCGTCCAAAACAAACAAGCAACGAGGGAAGAGGAAAGCGAAGGGCAGCCCCAGGATGCCTGTCTGTGGGCTGCTCCTCTCTGCCTGACGGTCGCTCTGCAACAGTAAAGACCACCTCACCCCTCTCCAAGCCCGTGTACACGGACGCGGCTCTGTAACGCTGACCGAATGAAAGGCCCCGTGGTCATGGCTGACATGTTCTGAATTCTGGACCCAGGGATGTGACATTGAGAGGGGCTTGTCCTGCAGACCGACACGTGCCTCCTCCCATGGCCTCTGCTTGGAAAGGAGAGGGAGGGGCGGGAAGCCAGGAAACCCTGCAGAAGCCAGACTCCCCTGCTGGCTCCGCCTCCCGTGCTCCCACCCCCACATGGAGGCTCCAAGCCTGCTCTCTGGCAGCCCTGGTGGCGGGCTCCGTGGGGCCCAGCCGGGGGCTGCAGGGGCCCGGCTGCCCATCACCCTCTGCCAATGCTTGACCAGCTCAGAATGGAGCCCCCAAGTGTGTGTCCACCCCATCACGCCACCTCCCAGCCGGACTGTCTCTGCCAGGCTCCCAGCTACGTGCCCTGATTACTCATGACGAGTGTGCAGATGCCTCAGGCAGCTCTGGCTCGGGCCGGGCAGAGGGGCCGGCTACTTGGCAGGTCAAGGGAAAGAGCTGAGGGGCTGGGCCTTGGCCCCGAGTCAGCATCCTGGGGCGGAAGACACGGGAGCCCTGGGAGCTGGGCCGGGTCTCAGAGGCCCAGGACAAGTGACAGAATACTAGACCTGATAAAAATCACCACCGCTTCTCGGCCACTCGGACCAGTCCCAGGCTAAGTGTTTGCACCTGCGATCTCACTGAATCCTCCCGAGTGCTGCTACCCCCCACTTTACAGCTTAGGAAGCTGAGCAAAGCATGTGCCCCACTAAGTGCAGTTCAACCCCAGGCTGACCCAGCGTCTCTGGGCCTCAATTTCCCCACCACGGACAGGGAGAGAAGCTATGCCCACCCTGTCCTATCCCACTAGAGCAAACAGGAGCTAAAGGAGTTCGGGCAGGAGGCTGGCAGGAGAGGAAGCCGGGCCGGGGGAGCTCCCCTACCTGAGCGGCCTGGCCAGGCGGCAGGTGAAGAAGCACAGCAGGCCCAAGGCCAGCCCCAGGCAGAGGACACTGAAGACCGCAGTGAGGACCATGTCCAGGGTGGGGGACAGGAGGGCCATCTTGAGGTGAAAAGGGTTGTTAGGAGTGGCCTCCACACTCTGCGCACGTCTGGTCACACTACCCTTGGCCGCTCACTCCAAAGCCCTGGGTCAGTGGCCAGTGACCTGGCTTTGAGCCCAGGTTAATCTTTGGGGATTAGCCCAGGAGGGATGAACCGAGAGGGGACTAGCCCACAAAGCTCCCCTCCCCCAGCCTAATCCTTTCACACGGGATGCTTGTTCCCTCACCCAGGTTTGTTCTCCCTTCACTCCCAAACGTTTACTGAGCACCTGCTGTCTACCCCGGTCTGTTCTGGGCCTTAGGGACTCAGAGGGAAGAGGGCAGACACAGCCTCTGTTCCCTTGGACATTTCTGGCTGGCCAGGGTAGAAAAAGCACCTACTGTGTACCAGCATGGTGCTGGCATGTTGTGGGATAAAAACAACAGCAGGAAAGGAACCCGTGGCCAGGCCACAGTCAGTCTTCCCTGCAGCAGCAGCAGCAGTAGCCACGCACCCTATCTGTAAGGCCAGGAATTTGAGCGTGCGCTGAACCACCCAGAGGGGGAGCCCACGTCCAGGATACGGGGAACTGTCCTTCTGATTTTTTTTTTAATCCCCACCTGAGGACATTTTCTCACTGCTTTTAGGGAGAGGGGAAGGGGTGGGGGAGGGGGGAGAGACAGATCAATGTGAGAGAGAAACATCGATTGGTTGCCTTCTCGTATGCACCACGACCAGGGATCGAACCTGCAACCTGGGTGTGTGCCTTGACTGGGAATCGAACCCACGACCTTTAGGTCTACAGGACAATGCTCCAACCAACCAAGCCACCTGACCGGGGCCAAGGAACTCAGTTACTGAGCACCAGCTGTGTGCCCCGCCCCGCAGGAGCTGGGTCCTCCTGCCCTGGTTTACAGATGAAGGAAGCACAGGCTCAGAGGTGCGACAGTGGACCCAGAGTTTGAGCCCGGATCTGCTGGCCTCCACGGCCGTGACCCCAGCCCGGCCCGCACCGCCTGGGGACTGGGATGGTGCCGGCCTTGCAGGGCAGCAGCGAGGCTTCAGCCGAGTCTCCACCAGGTGCTGGCCCAAAGCCAGTGGCCCCCCGGGAGACGGCACACAGGCTGGAGGGGGCTCTGTGAGCTGCCGCCTACTTAGAGCAGCCCCTTCTTCTTCCGAAGTGCCCCTCCTGCTTTTCCATCCTCTCCCGGGTTCTGACAGCATCTCAGGAAGTGGGGATGCAGATCATGCCTCCCCTCTTCCAGACTCAGAAACCAAGGCTCCGAGAGGTGGCGCCGCTGGGCGCACACACAGCCGGGAAGGAGAGCGGCCGCGTGCCCGTGAGGCCAGGCCTTCCCCGTCACCCACCCTTCCTGCCTCCTGGGGCCCCTCCAGTCCCACGGTCGTGAGAGACGCTTTTACCCTCTTGGTGCCAAGGATGATCCTTTCTTCCTTGCCCCAGAAAGGCCACTGAAGTCACCATGAACACAGGAAAACCAGTCACATTACTCTATCAAACCTTTTTCTTTCTCCATAATCCCTTACCTCGAACTGCATCAGCTGCTCAGAACATCCTAGCGGTAAAAGGCAGGCTGGGGCTTATTTGACGTACGGGGAAACCGGGGCTTGTGGGCGAAGTCATCCAGTCAAGGGCCACACAGCCGGCAAGTCTGGCCCAGGCCCCAGCCCCCCCACTTCCCAGCCATGCGATGCTGCGTGCGTCCGTTCCTGCACCTCCGAGCATCCACCTCCCATGCAGGAGTGCACCTGTGGTGTGCCGAGAATGACCTAGCTGACCTTAATTTTATCCTCATTCGCCGCCCTGACAGCAGCATACAGCTGTCCCTCTCCCCAGGGAGGGAAGGGACTCTGGGGCATGTGGGAACGGGACCCAGGGCCACACAGATGGAAGGTGCTAAGCCAAGCCCCGCACAGGGACCCGCTCAGAAGTCATGCCCGCTCCAGGCTCTCTCTGCCACAGGGACGTCCCCACCCAGCCCACCCAACTCCCAGGCCTGGACACCCTCTAAAGCTCCACCCCAGCCAGGTGAAGCCTCCCAGCTGTAGCTGGTGGGGTTGGAGGGGCAGTTATTTGTCTTGAAAGAGCCTCCAACCCACAGGTCACCATCCTGGAGTGTGTGAGCTGGGGAGGATCCTCTGAGCGGATCTCCCAAAGGTACCAGACAGCAAACATCCCTTGGGGTGATCGGGCAAAGTCTTATTCCCAAGTGGTTCCCCGGGCGGGGTACAGACTGGGAAGGGCATGAGGGAACTTTCTGGGGGGGACGGAAGTGTTCTTTACAATGACCTGGGAGGCAGTTAAAAGTACATGCACTACGTGTAAAAACGCACCTACTGGCTACTAACCCCACCCCACCCATCTCAGGTGTTGTGAGCCTTCAGTGAGAACTGAGTTAAGGGAATGCTGGGCAGGGGGAAGGGTTTAGTTTAAGGGAGTGGCTGTACTCAAATTTAAGAAGAGAAATTAGCCCTAATTTGTGCATTTTCCTCTGTTGCATGACTTCTAAGTCTGTGTGGCCCTCTCTCTTCTGGAGGTTTTGTTTAATATAAGTTAAAACTTTTGACTGTTAGCCCTGACCACACAGGTCAAGGCTGATGTTTTAACTTTCAACTGATGTTTTACCATTTTTTTCATATTCATTTTTTTCATAGGTGTGGCTCAGTGGCCAAGGTCTCAACCTGCAAACTGAGAGGTTGCAGATTTGATTCCCAGTAAGGGCACACACCTGGGTTTGCGGCCAGGCCCCCCACTGGGGGCGTGCGAGAGACCACTGAGCGATGTTTCTGGTACACATCAATGTTTTTCTCCCTCCTTCCCCTCTCTCTAAAAACAAAGAAATAAAATCTTTTTTTAAAGAGAAATTAAACAGATAACAACTTCGCAAATAAATTCCTGTTCCCCTCACCCCATACCCACTCAGCCAAAATCTCCCAGGCATTTTGCTTGGGAAACTGTGCCTTAGAGCTTATCCCATTGCCCAGATGGGAAGACTGAGGCCCCAGGAAGAAGAAAGACTTACCCCAGATCTCCCAGCTCCTAGGCCCCATAGACACACACAGGGAACAGTCAGAAACAGCCTGGAGCCAGCTGGGAGCCAGTCCTCTGGCCTGTCAGCTGGGCCCTCTTGGCTGTTCCAAGTAGCTGTGGCTGCAGAGAAGTGCTGAGTGCTCCCCGTGCTCTCCGTGGGCGAGGGGAATGGGATGGGGATTGAGGGGGTGGCCCTGGAAGACCAAATTAGGCTGCAGCAGCTGCCCAGGGAGAGAGCACCGCCGAAGACCAGCCCGGGAACATCTCAGCTGCAGGGTCAGCGATCGGGAACATGGACTCTCTCTCTCTCAGCCAAGCCCAGTGCCTCTGGCAAGCCTGGTTGGCCGGGACTTCATCCATTCACTGTTAGAATCATTTACGGCTGCCATGAAGCAGCCTCAGAGGGAAGGGCAGCTCAGAAGGGGATGTGTGGTGGTCAGAGTGGGCTGCAGGTCAGACCCAAGGAGGGACTTCCCAGAGGGCGGTGGGCCAGGTGCTGGGCATGGCGCATGACTCCGACCTCTAGCTGCTAAACGCCTCCCGTCCCAGAACAAACATGGGAGTGTCCAGGAGGCTTGGTGGCAGCCTGCCTGCTCCCAAGCCACTTTGTCTTCAGGGCTCTGATGAGATGCCAGCTGTCCCTCGAGCACCTCCAGACTCAGCACCTCTGTACATTGCGTTCTCTGGTCTGGAATGTTCCCTGCTGCTCACCCAATGACGTCCTAACACCACCCCTTCATCTCCACCTCAGTTCCGTTGGACTGCCCTGCCCGACCCCAGCCTAGCAGGCACTTACAGCTTCTCCCCAAGCTCCCAGAACCCCGGCAGGTGCTCAAGACCTTGTTGAATTTTTGAGTGTCTCCATGTTGCCCCCTCAGCACGGGGTGAGCTCCTGGGCTGCAGGGATCTCCCTCTGCTGATGGCGGCAGCCCCTGTGCCGGCAGCGCCTGGCACACTGCTGGCCCGGTAGGAAGTGTCCGTGAGTGGGTGGGAGGGTGGCGAGGTCCATGGGGATTGGCTGCAGAGGCCACTCAGCAGCGTAAGAGCAAGCTCTGGTGCCAGGGCTCCAGGTTCAGGTCCTGCCTGTGCCTGCCCCAGGCTGGGGAGTTCAGGGCTAGCGATCCCATGCCTCTGCCCTCGGGCTTCTCACCTGCCACCTGGGAGACTCATAAAAGCCACAGGGGGTTGTAAGGATGCCATGCGCTAATACGTGGAAAGGCTTCAAGCAGAGCCCAGGTCAGGGTTAGTGTTCAGCGAGTGCTGGCCGGCCGGCAGCTATGGTGATGGGGCGGGGATGATGGGCAAGTGGGGCAGATGAGGTATCGGAGCTGAGAGTGGACAGACCCTTCTCTGTCCACTCGGCCAGGCAGCCACTAGCTGACCTGCTCACCTGGAAGGCCCATAGGGTCTTTCTAGCTCTAGGACTCTAGAAACCAAAAGCTCGCCTGCCCGCTGGGCACCTCCACTTAGTTGGGGGTGTTTGATTGGAGGGGTAGAGGTCCCAGCACTGACAGTGAAAGGGGCTGTTTGCGTCCTGAGAGACCCAGATCTGTGTGCCTGTCTCTCTGTGTCTCTCATATACCCACAGACTCGTGTGGGAGGAGCAACCCCCACACGGGCGGTCTGACGTTTTCTTGTCCTCCTGAAGGAGAGAGAGAGAGAGAGGACACCCAGGGTCAGCCCAGGAGGCTCCATGGAGGCAGTGGGAAGACAGCCAGGCTGGAAGGGCTGAGAAGAATGGGCAGGAAGGACGTCCCGATAGGAGGCTGGGTGTGTGAAGGCGAGGCGGCGGCAGGGCAGGATTGCGAGGTCAGAGAGAAAGACGTGAGCCGACGGTTGGTGACGGAGGACAGAGGGGCGGCCTGGCCCGACCACAACGGGCTTTGCTCGCTGAGCCCGGCCTGGTCAACAGCAGCCCCCTTGCACGCCCGTCTCTTTTACAAGCCTCACCGCCGGCCCGTGTTACAGGTGAGGATGTCGAAGCTCACACGGTCTGCCACTTGCCCAGGGCCGCCCAGCAGAGCTGGGACCG